CCAATTTATTTAAAACTGCAAATGTGTTACTATTTAGGTGGGTGATAACATTCGTTTAAATTATATTTCTTTATTTATTTAATTTTATAATATATTTAGTTAAAAATATTTACAACTGTCCCAGTATTCCCGATTTCAGCCTTTCGTTTGATAATATTTTAATTATGTAAACTTAATTTCAATCTAACCTGGATTTTCCTGGTAGTTACTAACATAGAAAGTATCTAGCTAACAATAAAACTGTGAAAATTGTAAAATTTGTTTTTTAAAAATCAATTTTTTTGGATTATTTTATTTATTGGCGCAGTCAGTAGGATACGCGTAGGTTTTAGAAAAAAATATTGTTTCTACCCTTAAGTATATAACTAACTTTATTTAACTTTGTGACGTCAGTGGCGCAGTGCAGCTGTGAATCACCGTACTTTATTTGGTCTAATTGCTCCGATGTATTTTATATTAGCAGATTAGCAGTTTTAACGTTTCCAAACCATGTTAGTTTTTATATTATATTATACATATTTTGTTATTTGCTACATTCATTTTAATCTTAATCTCTTGATTTATTATTCAGTTCGTTGTTATAACTGCATAACGTTTCCAAAATTCAATTTCCATTTTTTATTTTTAATTTACTAATCCAGTTTTAAAGCTCATATATCATTTATGCTTCGTACTATAGATTTATTTGTAAAATTTTGTTGTTGTAATATGTTTGTCTAATCAGACTTAATTTTACTAAATTAAATCGATGTACTAATACCTACTATAGGGTTTTCCTCTATGGATCTAATTTTTTATTGGTTAATAAAACACAGAATATTTATTGTAATTATTCAAACTTTTATTAAAAATAAAAGTTAAAGGTTTGGTAATTACTGTTACAAAAGAATATCTGATAAATGCCTCTCTCTTGCTGCCTTACAAATATCCCCTCTTTTATCAAAATTTCGCACCGCTCTTTTACATACTTGTAGATCTCAACCCCTAACAAAAATGTTGTTCTGGGGAAATAATGGCCCAATAATTGTCTGTCTACTATTATTAGGATGGCCTTTTACCTTTTACCTACAAAGGGTCAGCATATATATAGATCTCTACGCGGCCATAGTCATTTTGCCATCCATATCATTATTAGGGCTTTTAACATCCCAGAGTCACTTTGTCATAATACAGTAAAAGGGCATTTAACAGTTCTTTCTATTTTAACTGTAAAACTTCGATGGCTGATTGCATGCCCAATATTGTGTCAATATTTCATCAATTTATTGGAAAATATAGTATATTATTAAACGAGCAATTTATGGTAGCCATTATTCACGCAGGGTGACGTTCCACTTGAGTGGAAAATGGCCATAAATTGCGAGTATAATACTATACTTTGTCCACAGCCATTATGGTTTCTTAATTAAATAAAAGTTAAGTGTGGAATGGAAAATTTTTATTAAACATAGGTGTTGTTTTTTCGACTTTTCAATTTTCCGATTTTCCAATTTTTCGGACTTCTAATTTTTCGATTTTCCGATTTTTCGATTTTTCGATTTTTCGATTTTTCGATTTTTCGGTTTTTCGATTTTTCGATTTTTCGATTTTTCGATTTTTCGATTTTTCGATTTTTCGATTTTTCGATTTTTCGATTTTTCGATTTTTCGATTTTTCGATTTTTCGATTTTTCGATTTTTCGATTTTTCGATTTTTCGATTTTTCGATTTTTCGATTTTTCGATTTTTCGATTTTTCGATTTTTCGATTTTTCGATTTTTCGATTTTTCGATTTTTCGATTTTTCGATTTTTCGATTTTTCGATTTTTCGATTTTTCGATTTTTCGATTTTTCGATTTTTCGATTTTTCGATTTTTCGATTTTTCGATTTTTCGATTTTTCGATTTTTCGATTTTTCGATTTTTCGATTTTTCGATTTTTCGATTTTTCGATTTTTCGATTTTTCGATTTTTCGATTTTTCGATTTTTCGATTTTTCGATTTTTCGATTTTTCGATTTTTCGATTTTTCGATTTTTCGATTTTTCGATTTTTCGATTTTTCGATTTTTCGATTTTTCGATTTTTCGATTTTTCGATTTTTCGATTTTTCGATTTTTCGATTTTTCGATTTTTCGATTTTTCGATTTTTCGATTTTTCGATTTTTCGATTTTTCGATTTTTCGATTTTTCGATTTTTCGATTTTTCGATTTTTCGATTTTTCGATTTTTCGATTTTTCGATTTTTCGATTTTTCGATTTTTCGATTTTTCGATTTTTCGATTTTTCGATTTTTCGATTTTTCGATTTTTCGATTTTCCGATTTTTCGATTTTTCGATTTTTCGATTTTTCGATTTTTCGATTTTTCGATTTTTCGATTTTTCGATTTTTCGATTTTTCGATTTTTCGATTTTTCGATTTTTCGATTTTTCGATTTTTCGATTTTTCGATTTTTCGATTTTTCGATTTTTCGATTTTTCGATTTTTCGATTTTTCGATTTTTCGATTTTTCGATTTTTCGATTTTTCGATTTTTCGATTTTTCGATTTTTCGATTTTTCGATTTTTCGATTTTTCGATTTTTCGATTTTTCGATTTTTCGATTTTTTTCTTTTGTACTATATTGATCTTGTATTTATGAATATCCAGCTACTTAAAATTTCGAAAAAACCATCCATTAATTTCCACCTTTTTGTTTCACTTAGCCAAAATCCATTTTCATTTTGTAGATATCATTTAATTATATTACAAGCTCTTAAAAATCATAAACATACGAGGTGAACAAGAGACTGTCCCCCAACGCAAGGCCAACATCAATTAATGAATTAATGAAAATATAATGGCCTTTTAACATGTAGCCAACATAGTCATCTCCCATCAATCTTGGCAAAGGACCATCAGTTTCCCGGCATTTGTTTGTTTGTTTTTTTGGCGATAACTCGAATAATTTTTGCTTTTAAATCAGTTATCATTTATGGATTGTTTCTGTAGTACCTTAACTTATAGCCCTTTAGAAAGAAGTTCAACGGTGTTAAGTCACAAGATCTTGGTGGCCAAACTAACATCATCGTTACTGATGGAGATTAAACGTCAAGAAAAAAAATTTCTCAATAAATCAATTTTCATTTAATTTCATTTAATTATTTATAAATTAGAGTAGAGTCTACATATCAATATTTTTTGACATTAAATTGTCAAGTATAAGAATTATAACCTTTCAAAAAATTGTGTCCCTAATGGAAAACCCTATACAATAAAAATTATTTTAAAAAAAGAATTGTTTTAAATCACTCCCTTTAAATCTGGAAACAGTTATTAAACCATTGTTATTATATAAAATAAAAAAAAAATATCAAAAATATATTTTGTAATTAACATTCTTTAAAAACCTTCGACTTTTAAAATGCAGATTTTCTTACAAAAAAAAATAATTTTATGCTTTTTGCGTCATCTTTTTGTGTGTCTAGCTAAATAGAAATTAACAAGGGATGCTTTTTATTTAAAATTCTCACAAATTATCAAATAAGCTTATATTTTTTTGTTAATATATACATATTGAACTTTTCATAAAGGGTGAGGTCGGTAGTTAATAGTTTTCTCCTAAATACATATTATTTAGTACAAAACAATGTCTACTAAATTTTAACTTATTTTTTCCCAAATAAAAAACATCTATTTTCAAATTAGAAATATTCTAATTTTATTATTTTTCTTTTTAAGATAAAAATAAAAAATGTGGCTTTATTAGCCATTTTTAAAGAAAGCTATTTATGTGATATTATTGATATTTATTTGGTCTGGAATTATTGCAGCATTAATATATCATAATAATATTAATGAGAAGGATATAAGGACCGTACTCGCCCAATTTTCAACTGTATATCTTTGTCAATTCTGCTATATCTCGTAAAAATATTCTATAAACTATAATTCTAGTCTATCACGTTTTAAATGTTGTAGGGTGTGTAGTATACAGATTGTTGATTTCAAGTGTCTCTATGAACTAGTAAAATTATTTTGTTGCCGTGATAGTTAAACGTTATTCCGTTGTTTTGAACGATGTTTCAGATATTTATACTGTCTAAAGTTTATAGATATTGGAGGTTAGCTTCAACAAATGCAATTTATTGTAAAAGAAAAATGAGGATTGTAAGTGAAGTTGTACAGAAGGAAAGATAGTTTAACCGATACAGGGAAATGCAGGATACTCTAATTCATATGACATTATACTGACACACTTTTGATATATTGTTTACACCAGAGGGAATTATTGATTTTTTCTACATACAGAGGATTATAGTTAAAGAAAAACAATTAAAATTATAATCTAGATTCATCACAAAAATATTCTGGCATTTATATTTAATTTTGAATAATGCGAATTCAATTTTTATGTCAAAAATAGAACCCCTTAAATTATTGTTTAAGTAAACATTTCTAAACAATCAAAAGTGTATGTCCGATATACATATTACTAAATAATTGGCATTGGTGGAAACAATATAAACATACAAGGTGTCCCAATAGTTTGTGGATTTTCGATATATCAAACAATGTTATTTACAAAAGTTGTAGATGATATTAATCTACATATTTTAAAATTATTTTCGATTATACAGAGTGATCCATAACTTCAGAATAGATCAAACCTATGTTTTTTTTTTTTTAAATAGACCACCCTGTATTTAATTGTAAATTTGAATTCCCCTGACTTTGCCCTTTAAGAAAATACCAACATGTATGAGGTTATACAGTGTATTTTGGAAGTTTAAACCAATTTTATATGAAAATCGTACTAGGTTCAACCCTCTGTATATTTTAAAAGAAACAATCTAACATCAAAATTTTTTGATGAATCGTTTTTAATAATAGTCTACTTTTATAAAAATATACTAATTTTTTCCTAGCGCAATAGACGTGTACAGGGTGAGTCAAAACTCAGATACATGATTTTCTCAATTTTTTTAAATGTATTTCATATCACTACTAAAAAGTACTCTAAGTATACGTTCGTTTGAGTTAAATATTGCCTATCCCTAAACACAATAGTTAAGCGAGATTCTTAGATGAAATGTTAAAAAGACTTAATTATAACTAAATTCACAATGTAATTTGATTTAAACTCCTGTTAAAATATACTGTTTAATCAGTTTATATTTTTAAGGTACCTAGCTACAATTTATTATCAACTAAATTTACTTTCTTTACTTTTAAGGTTAGGTTCACCCTGTATTTCATATCTCTACTAAAAGTACTTTAATTATACATTCGTTTGTCTCTATCCCTAAACACAACAGTTTAGAAGATATTTTGTATTTAAAGGAAAAAAATATGAGCCAAAAATAGGTTATTTAAATTTTTTTAGAATGCAAAATTATTTTATTAAAAAATGAAAAAAAAAGCAATTATAAAAGCTGCTCAAAGTGACTCCCTCTAACTGCAATACAATGTTGTAATTTAGCTTCAAATGATCTTTGAACGTTTTTCAAACATTGGACATCTATGCTCGCGAACACTTGTCTTATTCTTTCCTTCATTTCCTCGCTAGTTAATGGACTAGTTTTATAAACCTCGTTTTTTACGAAACCCCACAAAAAAATCTACTTTAGTGAGGTCAGGGGACCTGGGAGGCCACATAACTGGACCATCTCTTCAAATCCACCTGTTTTCAAAATTATGATTCAGAAAGTTGCGAACTGGTTGAGCATGATGTACAGGAGCTCCATCATGTAATATCTATCCACATTCGGCGTCTTATATTTAGTGGAACATTTTCCAATAGTAGTGGTAGATAATTCTGCAGAAAGTCTAAGTAGACCTCGGCAGTTACACGACCATGAAAGAAACTAATTCCCGTTTCATTTTCCATGATGCGTGTACTGATGGATTTTCGGTGCCATGTGCCTGTGCCATAATTAACTAGATCATCGACATATCACAGGGTTCTTTGTCTCTTATCTTTGAGAGCCTAAAGCAGCCCGTCTACTACAAGGTTCCACAGGAATGGAGACAGCACTCCACCCTGCGGACACCCTCTCGCTACCCGTGCCGCTATTGTCTCTCCCATAAGGGTTGTGTGTATAGTTCTCTCCCTTTACATAGAGTCGATCCAGGACACGCACGTGTCCTCGATTCCTCTGTGTTTGAGAGATCTAATCTAAAAACCAGATGCCGGCCTTATAAGCCAATAGAGATTCCAAAGATATCTAATATACAATCTCCCCTCAAATTTAAGGTGAACGCCAAGAGAAACACCCAAACCGTGAGTAATATTGGCATAAAACACATAATTGATAACACGGATTTAAATTGCCTAAATCAGGAAGCCTCCTAGGCCGATTTTTCCGCCGTTCGACCTTCATCTGACCGCCAAGGTGTTGGTGAGGCGGCGAATCCACTAATAGACTCGTTTGAGGGGAAATCTCCGAGGAAATCGTCAGTGGCTGAATCGAAGGAATCACTCGAGTTCCACGACAGCCAGGAAGGAGAAGAAGCCGGCGATCATAGATATAAAAACAATTCCGGATCCGAATATGCAAAGACGTGTAAGGAGTTAATAGAAGTCCTAGAAAAATCGGACGATTGCAACAGTACTACGGACAGCAACATGGACACCAGGGTTGTTGAGACAGAAAGAGCCGAGAGAGAAAACACCAGAGGCAGACAAATTCACTTCTTCTTATGTCACCCAGAATAATCCTCAATTTACTACAATTAGCCTACCCACTAATGTTATAGGCAAACTTCTTGACTTCGGATACGCCTATTCTGATATCTTACCTCCCCAAGACCCACCCATGCAACTTGGAGGTGCGGGATATGCCCAGAGCTAGGGTGGATTGTGTAGCTCTAGCTTTGGGTATGCTCCCACGTCCCCTGTCTCGACAATTTTGGGCACTCACGTAGAGATGAGCACCATTAATCTCAAAAACCCAGGAGCGACAGATTCGGTAACACTAAGTAGAATACTTAGTTCATTTTGTTCATTTAAAGTTCGTTTTTCTCTATCATTTTTTTGATATGCTACATTACCTGTACATTTGAATCTTTCCAACAGATTTTCAAAAATTTCTTTACGCGTTTGTCCGCGATCAGGATATTTTTTCTTATAAATTCTAGTTGCCAACAAGCAATTTTCATCACTAGCCCCTAGCACCAAAATCATATCAGTCAATTTATTCGTTTCAAAATTCATTTTTAAATTAGTAAAATCAATAAATTTAAATACTTGTGAACATAAACGTAATTTTATTTTTTTATTTAAACAATTAGGAACTGTCAAATTATTCATTTGACATGAATTTCAAAGCCCACTTGACCTAATGCACAAAAAAATTTTGAAGTTCTGTTAGCCTTTTTATTGCATTTTATATAAAAAGTTGTAAAGGTCCCAAAAAATAAATTCAGTTGATAAAAAATTGTACCAGGTACCTTAAAAATATAAACTAATTAACTAGTAACTAGTATGTAATATTTAACAGTTTAAATCAAATTACATTGTGAATTTAGTTATAATTAACCCTTTTTAAGATTTCATCTAAGAATCTTGCTACTGTTGTGTTTAGGTATAGGCAATATTTAGCTTAAACGAACGTATAATTAGAGTACTTTTTAGTAGTGATATGAAATACAGGGTGTTACATTTAAAAAAGTTGAGAAAATCATGTATCTGAGTTTTGACTCACCCTGTACACGTCTGCTGCACTAAGAAAAAATTTGTATATTCTTATAAAAGTAGACTATCATAAAAAATTATTTATCAAAAAATTTTGATGTTCAATTGTTTCTTTTGAAATATACAGAGGGTTGAACCTAGTACGATTTTCATATAAAATTGGTTTAAACTTCCAAAATTTGTATTATAACTTCATACATGTTGGTATTTTCTTGAAAGGCAAAGTCAGGGAAATTCAAATTTACAAATAAATACAGGGTGGTCCATTTGAAAAAAGAAGGTTTGATCAATTCTGAAGTTATGGATCACTCTGTATAATCGAAATTAATTTTTAAATGTGCAGATTAATATTATCTACAACTTTTGTAAATAACAATATTTGATATTTTCTATAATATAGGATATATATCGAACTTCCACACACTATTGGGACACCCTGTATATACAATATAAAATGCACAATTTGGTATATAAATGAATATAAAAATAACCAAAATTTTGGTTTTATTGATTTATATTTCGCAAATTGTGTAGCAATGATTTGAGGTTGACGTACTACATAACAAAGAGAATCATTAATGAATTATAGTACCCTGTAAATGCTTCAATTTCTTCTAATTTTAGAGATCGCTTTCCAAAAATATATTTTTAGAAAAAGAGTTATTTTAATCACTTTATTAAAGCAGCACATATTTCTCAATTACGTATGTAAAATTTTTAGATGTGAGAATAGTTTTAACTAAGAAATATATTTTAAATTTTGGGACACAATATATTATTATCTATATTTATACAAATATAATCTGATTGAACTGAGAATATATATCTTTTAACTTAACTAGAGATTTTAAAATATCTACATAACAAAAAAATGGATAATCCTTTTACAAATTCCTGATATACACACTGTGTCCCAAATTTTAGTCAATTGTAATAATATAACCCCAAGAAAGACTGCATTAGAAAAACGTATTTTTCTATTCAACTGAAATTGCATTTGGAAAGCTGTAACATGAAGTTATTATTGTTATTTTCAATAAAAATTTTGAATGTCTTAGTATACACTGTTAAATAAAAGCACTAAGAATGGGTATATTTAAAACTTTGTTTTTTTATACAATTTTAGCAGATAAATGAAGTTTTATATGCCATGAACTACGTACACATTCCAAAAACTTACGAGTAAATAAGTAAAGAAGTATATCAAATGCAATAAATATTTTTTTTAAAAGAATGTGTGGGTAGACGAAATTTTTTAAAATTATTTCTATACCTAAAATCCATGTATTTGTGGGTAATATATGTGATGAATGCAATTATTGTTTATTTATTTAATATACCTTCCTATTATTTCATTATTATACATGCAGGGTGGCCATTTGAAAACGAAACAGGGCCAATTTTGGGCACCCTAGGCGATTTACAAAAAAAAAAAACGCTCGGACCCGTCAATTTTTGAATTTAAGGAAAACATTTTTTTGCCGGTTTAACAGGTATTGTTCTCACTTTTTGGTAATTGACGTTGGTCGATCTTTTCTTTTATACTCACTTTATAATTAATTTCAGAAATTATTGAAATCACTCCAAAATTCGAATTTGAAATAACAACAGATATTTACGGTTTGGGGCCCTATACAACAACAACAAAAAGAAAATGTGAGGATGTACGTTAGTGTGCCGTTTTCCCGAGGGTTGAGAGCCTACCGGGCGCGTCTCCGGTTGGTGGATAGAAGGAGGAGTATCTGGCAAGTGGCAGCTATAAGTAGGATGAGGGAACTTAAAAACCCCCAAAATCCTTTGCGAAAACTGTTGTCGTACACCAACTCCCCAAGTTAAGGCGTAATGCGACCCGTGCCGAGTACTGAATGATACCTGGGTCAAGGTATTGCAAACGGAGCCTCTGGGACACCGGGTTATCTCCCAGAGCATCACGACCTTACTGCGGCATGCGGGGATCTGCTGTAGCGGACTGTTTTCCCTAGCTACTTGTGGGATCATATATGAATTCTAAAAACAACAACAACAGCGAAATGCAACAACAACAACAGCGAAATGCAACAACAAAAGGCAACGGCGTCAACCTCGAAAGGGGATGCGACGAAGGCAACGTCTTTGGCGAAGGCTGAAAAGCTAGCAAAGAGGCGTAAAGTCTTCGTCTCCTCCCTGGAAGAGGTAGACCAAATGCTCGAGGACGAGGTACATTCTGCCCGTCTAATTGCACTTGAGGACAAGGCTAAAGTAGCTCTTGAAAACTGGCCTTGATTACACAGCCGCAAAAAGGCAGGTGATCAAGGAAAATTTTCAAAGGGCCCAAACAAAGCCACAAATGCCCCAGAGGCAAGACAACAAGGCGAAAGAAGCTGCCAAGCAAGCCACAAATGCTCTAAAATGCCCAAAGTCAATAGAAGCAACACCGCTACAGGTCAGCCGACTGAGGAAGAAGGCAGGACGGACGAAGTTTCGTTCAAAGAGGCCCTTACCTCCGTGAAGGTTGCAGTGGTAGAAATAGGGTACCCGAAGATCAAAATGAGTCCAGAGAGACTATTAAAAGTCCAAAACCCGATCTCCGAGGCACACGACAAAGACCCCACAGAGGGAACACAGGTAAGGTTCGCAAAGTGCAGCCTCAAGCCAGGTTACCCGGTCGTGACTTGCGCGGACCGAACCAGTGCAGACTGGTTGCGGGACATGGTCACAATCATCCAACCTTGGAAATGGGCAAACCTGAAAGAGTTGAAGGGTAACAATATCTCTAGGCCACTAGCCTGCACAGCGTTCGTCCCCGACGAAAGAGGACAAAGGCCCGAAAAGACTAAAAATAGCCAACCATGGGCTAACCGTGATAACCTACGGGTCGGTGGTATGGTGGCCAAAGACTCGGCAAGCTGGAGCCATTCGACAGCTCAATGGTATTCAAAGACACCTGATTACCACGGGAGCTATGAGAACGACTCCAACAGCAACTATAGAATTAATGCTGAACCTACCCAGGCAGCACACTGACGTTACAGAGACGTCATTTATTGGTCATGAGTTACGTCATTTTTCACCAAAGGTCTGACGTCAAAATGACGTCCAGCTCACGTCATTATGTCACGCACAGTGACGTCATTTTGTGACGTTACTATAACGTCAATTTGTGACGTTACTGTGACGTCAATTTGTACCGTTACTGTGACGTTATTCTGACGTTAATTTATGCCGTTACAGTGACGTCAATTGGTGACGTTACTGTAACGTCAATTTGTAGAGTTGATGTGACGTCAATTTGTGACGTTACTAATACGGTGGCTCTGTAGGGATTATAGGAAATAATATTACTAATAAATAATAACAGCTTTTATTATAAATTTTTATAAAAAATCATTAAAACTAAACATGACTTCTGAAAAAAATGGGATGCAAATTTCGGCTGTCATTTGGTAATGGAATTTAAGAACATTGTATATTTTATCAAACGGCACCTGTGCCAAGCACTATCCTGGGCAAAATGGTTAAAAACAAAATAATTTCTATTTAAAAATCACACAAGACATGACAGCGATAATTTTGTTTACCCTGAAAAATTTTTCCTTGAAAATAACATTTAAAAATTCAAAATGTATGTGATTGCAGTAATTACTAAAGGTATGTAAAACATAAAATTTTATTACCGTTACATTTCTTTAATATATTTTTCTTTAAAATTTTTGGAGGCCTTTCCAATGCACTTTCTTTATTACTCTCATCCTCGCTGCTACTACAAATTTTTTTTTGCTCGCACTCTTTTTTCTGGGTGCTTCCTCATCAAATTCTGAATTTAGGTCACTTGAATTTTCTGCCTGTTTTAATTTTCTTCTCCCCTTTTCCAAATCATCTAAAAAAATTACATTCATTTAAAAAAAAATGCAAGAACTTTTTGTTCATTCAAAGAATTAAATATACTACATTCACAACATAGTTTTGTTAAGGTTTTAAAGAATACTTTTTATTCATTTAACATAAATATTATAAACATTGTTAAAACCCGTTAATATAAGAGTTAATTTTTCATTGGTAGTAAGTTGTTGGAATGATATAATAAAGCCCACATTATTAAATTAATCATAATAATTTTGTCCTGCACATAGAATATTAACAAATGTAATTTTCTTTAATTGATATATAAAATTTCTGTCACCCATTGACAACAATTTTATAGTTAGAATAAAAAAAATTATAACATTTATAGTATATTTTTATCTTCAACTAAATTATACTTTGTTAATTTTACACAAACAGCTGTAAATTTTACATATCTAATATTACAACAAATTATAAACTTTTACAGAACAATATTCTTGTCATAATAAAATGATTTTAAAATAAGACTAACAATATAGTATTAATACTTAAATTGTAGGTACTGATATTAAATCAGAAATGTTATGGGAAATTAATGTACTGTCTACTGTCCACTGTAAACTTGACAAAATAAGTATTACATAAAAACAATATTTTGTTAGTGTTCTACTTCAACGTTTTTGATTCTTGATGTGTAGGGATTTGTCTTATTATTGGAACTAGTTGTAGTAGCCACTTTTGGTTGATATTGTAATGGTTATAAAGAAGATTAAAAATGTTTTCTTAGGTAAGTACCTTAATTAATTAAGAATACATATTTTATAAGTAGTAGGTAATTATCTCTACATTTTTCATTGAATTTACTAAAAAATTTTGATTGTTGATATCCAGTTGGTTATACTGTATTCTCCAATTTTATTATTTTTATATCAGTATTAAACTACGAAAGTATCAAACTAAAAGTACATTTATAGTCAGCCTGATTTTGTTTTAAGCTCAACATAAATACAAATTTAAGGATTTTAAACCAAAACCATTTATACAGAAAGTTTAATCATAAGCATAAGATTTTTTGACAAATTATAAATGAAAAAGAGAAAAGACATTATGGGGTCTATTCTGTAACAATTCCTTTATATTTAACGGCCTTTAAAAATATTGGCGGCCTATAAAAATATGTTCGTATTCGTTAATTTACTTCTGTCATTATTTAAACAGATTTCTTTAAGATAGTCCTCTAATGTATTTTAAAGATCCGTTTAAATAATGACAGAAGTAAAGAAGAAAATATTTTTAAAGGCCGTTAAATATAAAGGAATTGTTACAGAATATACCCCAATATATGGTAGCTGTTTCTAAAATTCCTCTGCTAACTCTATCAATTATTATTGATCAAAAAATGTGGAAAGAA